AGGCAATTATAACATGATGTTGACCCGGGTCAAACCCGGGTCAATTAAATCATGACCCGACCCGACCCGTTCGGGTCAACCCGACTCGTTTCGGAGCTCTAGGGAAGAATTTTATTGGTTGCATGTGATGCTAATAAAAATTATTGTACGATTTTAAATATATTTAAGTTACATATTAAATATTGACTAAAAAATTGTTTTATCATGATTTGCTTCATTGAAATTTTTTTTTAAATTAATGTAACGCTCAAGGGCATTAACTTGTCCTATTTGTTCTTTAGAATTTTCATATTTTATTTTTTTTTACTTTTAAACATAAATTTTTAAAAAAATTTTGTGATCTTTTATCTTTTGTTTAATCCTTAATTTTTTGCGTATATATAATTTTCTCCATTTGTGTTTTTATCATTATTATTCTAATAACTCTTTGTCAATTAAAAAGAAAGCATTAACAACCATTATTTAATCCTTTATAAGCAACACTAGCTTACTTAAACCTTACTAATATTAAAAAAGAGGTAAATAACATTTGAATTAATTAATGTAACACAAATTTATTTATCAAATAAATCACGTGAAAGTCACGGACGTGCATTTAGAGAGGGTGGTTTTATATGAACGGGGATGGGGGAAGACCATGCAGTACAGAGTATGGAGGGTGTGCATTTATTCCTAACTCCCGAGGTTGGGAATGAGACATAGCGTGCATTTATGGAGGGATGCATTTATAGAGGGAGGGTTCACTGTACCTGTAATTCTTGTATCTGGATTAATTCCATCAACTCTAATCAACTCCTTATATCCAATATTTATTGCTTGTAAAAAAACCTTGATTATTTTTCACACCATGTTATTGCAGGAATATATCAACTAGAATTTTTGATGTTGAATTTTCTATCTATTTTCTAAAATAATAATAAATAAAATATTGTCACATAATGAATCTTTCTGATCATATATCACCTGATCTAAAAAAAAGGAATTAATAATTAATAGTATGATCTAAAAAAAGGAATAATATAACTATTATTACAGGAAAATATATCAACTAAAATTTTTGATGTTGAATTTTCTCTAAATTAATAACGAATAAAATAGGGTCCCATACATTACTAATATGATCACATAACAATTCTTTCTAATTTAATCATTAACCTTTGGAAAAAAAAAAATCATGCATTTTCTCCTAGATGAATTGAGACTTTTAACGTTAATAATTACATTCTCTCCTAGATAAATAAATATATAAACAAATAATTCTTTTATGATATAGTTATACATTTTTGTTATAATATCTACTACTTACAGTCCCCAGCGAAAGTAATGGCACGTAATTTTTTATGAATAAAAAATGTACTTTATTAAAAATTTAAAAAAATTTTTTTTTTTCTTAAAGCCAAATAGTATGGCTATAACATTTATTATGGTGTTAGTACTTTGTATGAGCTCCTTTGGCATCAATGCACGCTTGAACCCGATTTTGCATGCTACCGATGCTATTAACTATGACATTTTTTTCGATTCCCTCCCATTCCTCCCTAATAATATTGATAAATTTATTTTTCGAAACCTTTTTTTTTTCTGCTAT